ATCGGAAATAAATTTTTAAATGGTAAACGAAAGGTAAGACACAAAAGTTACATTGGAAATAAATTTTAGGGGTTGCGTTTTGTACCCCTTACAACCATGGGGTAAACCAAATAAATTTCTGGCTGAGTGTCTTTTTGGTAGTACAAAACGTCAGGTTAATTTCAATATTGTAACTTTTTTGGTGCTTGTGAAAAAATTGTTATACAAATTTTATGTACCTACCCCCTTTAAGGGGCTGTATCTTAACAAGGGATGCTCCAATGAAATTTCTTTATATAAAAGATCCTATCTTTTTTTCGATGAGAAATCACCTCTTCAAATGTTTTACACTTATTTAGTTACACCCTGTATTTAAAGTCCAATAAGTTCCTTCATCAATTATATACTTATGAAATATCCAAGGTTCTATTGAGAAATGAAACAAACATCCATACAAGAAATACATCTGATGTAATATTTGAATATGAAACTGATACATCCAGGGGTTGAAAAAATTATTAATACATATGATAATTCACTAAGATATAATGAGTTGACCAAGATTCCATTTACTTTCAAAAAGAAATACAAAAGTTGGATATTGAGAAACCTAGAGAATTGGTTTTTACCAAACTGGTTAATGTTTGGAACATATTTAACAATGTTAATTCATTCACCAAAACTTTGCGTTCATATCTTTTTTTAAATATATGTATTATTCATTCATACATTCATACTTATGCATGATATATCATTGAAAAACAAGTTTTTACTTTTTGAGGTGAATTTAGTTTCATAATTTCCTTTGTGAAACTGTATACTCTGAATAAACTCTCACTAATATTATTATTCACAATAAAAAATTTGGTTTCTGTTTTAGGCTTAACCTTCAAGAGACAATTTTTTGAAACATAGCGCGCAATTTGTATCTTCAAAAGAATCTCCTTACTATATTCAAGAATTTAAAAACACCTTTTTAGGCTGAATAACGCTGTATATATTTTCCGTGATCACCAAACTTACCTTTTGAACTACTTAATGAATCGTCGCTGCCACTCTTCTCAACAACTTCGTCAAATCTCTCAATCAAATTGAAATGAGGTAAACCACTCACGAAGTCAAGTAGTACGACACAAAGCAAAATACTTGTTTTGTTATTAACCTTAAACCTGCCCATTTTGATTAATATTTACACTGAGGCGGATGGACATCGACTGGACGAAAAGAGTGGGTTTTATCTTTTTTACCAGTTTTGTTTGTTGAAAAAAAGTTGAAAATGTAACTGGACGTCGGGTAGAGTGGGGAAGTGTAGGGAAATCCCTGCGAAATCCGTGTCTTTTATTAGCTTTGACTAAATTTGATCATTAATCGAAATTGATGTGATTATTTATGATCTGTTTCTTAAAAATTGCACCGTTCAATACAACCATTTTCAAGACTATGGATTTATATATACAAGTTGCAAAAATGAAACCAATACAAGGTTGATTTTTTATATAGGTACCTACATTGCCATTTTGACATACATGGCTTTCATGAAAAAAACATTGAAATAATCTAAATAAGTAGGACAAATTTACTTGGTTAGTTTCTCCGAAATTCAGATGTAGATTAATTGAACTAATCAGATTCATTTGTCATAGGTTTGAAAACAAAAAATTATATGAAAACCTACACATATATCGATAATTTTCTATTCAAATTTTATTCAAACGCTGTAAACATTCCTGGAAAAATTATCCAAACTTACCTCTTGAACTACTTAATGAATCGTCTTTGCCACTCTTCTCAACAACTTCGTCAAATCTCTCAATCAAATTGAAATGAGGTAAACCACTCACGAAGTCAAGAAGTACGACACAAAGCAAAATACTTGTTTTGTTATTAACCTTAAACTTGCCCATTTTGATTAATATTTACACTGAGGCGGATGGACATCGACTGGACGAAAAGAGTGGGTTTTATCTTTTTTACCAGTTTTGTTTGTTGAAAAAAAGTTGAAAATGTAACTGGACATCGGGTAGAGTGGGGAAGTGTAGGGAAATCCCTGTGAAATTCGTGGCTTTTATTAGCTTTGACTAAATTTGATCATTAATCGAAATTGATGTGATTATTTATGATCTGTTTCTTAAAAGTTGCACCGTTCAATACAACCATTTTCAAGACTATGGATTTATATATACAAGTTGCAAAAATGAAACCAATACAAGGTTGATTTTTTATATAGGTACCTACATTGCCATTTTGACATACATGGCTTTCATAAAAAAAATATTGAAATAATCTAAATAAGTAGGACAAATTTACTTGGTTAGTTTCTCCGAAATTCAGATGTAGATTAATTGAACTAATCAGATTCATTTGTCATAGGTTTGAAAACAAAAAATTATATGGAAACCTACACATATATCGATAATTTTCTATTCAAATTTTATTCAAACGCTGTAAACATTCCTGGAAAAATTTTATAAATAACCTACCATAAATGTTCTATATTTTTTTAGGGGAGTATTGTATTGTCGTTTCCACAGTCCATCACAGGCTCAAACATTATGGTTGCAGAAATAAACCTTGGGGTATACTTCAACTTATTCAGTTTTAGCCCGCAACATATTCTATATTTGATTTCGAACGAAATAAGCAGATAACCACATTTAGGTATGGGAATAAAAATGTTAGTACCTACTCTATAGCAGGGATTCCCAATTTATTGTTTGGCTATGAAACCCTAATTGAGCATACGTTTCTTGACGGAACCCTAACTGGTTATTTCGATAACCGAAGTTTGAATATTTTCATGTTATGACTGGAAAAAAGAAAACATTATGAATGAAAATTTATCATTATAATGTAACAACTATTTAATGTGAAGAATGGCAATTTTTAACTTATTTTCATATAAAAAATCCTCAAATTAGTCTATGTGTCCGATTTGTGTATACAGAAGCTGAAAATCCAATCTTACGTCCGGCCCCTGTGGCCCTTCTACAGAACGCCAAGATTCCACGTACCACCATTTAGAAATCTAGGCTCTATATTAAAGGAATGCCGGTAAAGTAAATCGTGAATTAGTTAAATTGATTACGGAAAAGAGGGTTCTTGATTAAGAAGATTTCCGCTGACCACCATTTAGAAATATAGGCTCTTTAATAATAATAATACAATCATTTAGCATTATAATATATTTGTCGCTATAGAAGTTTTATTGTAGTCTGCTACGCATCCTTGATCAAACTTTTAGATAAAAAAAAAGATTTTTCTTTGAGAAGAATATATTGATTTTATGAAGTAACTTATTGGGGTGAATTAGAAGTTTGACCTTTTCACACTTTGTAGAACATGCTCCAATACTATTTTTTATTTCGTCAGATTGTGGAAGATGAAAAGTCCCAGAGAAGTCTTTTTATTTTGGAGGTTAGGAAAATGTCCATAGTCTTGAAAGAGTTTTGGTTGAATGATTGAAAAGTGTTTTACAGGAAACGCGACTTGAAGCAATTTTCAGTAAAAAAAATTTTTGAGGTTCCATAAACAACCTCTATCATCGATCAATTTTACGTCCTACTTACATAAAAACCAAACAAAAGGTTACTAATGACAGCAGTGGATGCTGCTTTAATGCTGCTAACACGAAAAACAAAGTTCAAAACTTGTATAAAATAAGCAAAACGGTAATATGAAATGAGCAAATCTCTGTGTCAAACTCAAAAAATGTCTCGTCCAGTCTAAGTGAATGAGAAAAAGGAAAGAATGTCCAACTTTATGATGAAATCTTATNAATAAGCAAAACGGTAATATGAAATGAGCAAATCTCTGTGTCAAACTCAAAAAATGTCTCGTCCAGTCTAAGTGAATGAGAAAAAGGAAAGAATGTCCAACTTTATGATAAAATCTTATAATACGATGTATTCAATTCAGATCATTTTCAACATGGAGAATATGATTGTCTAGTTCCTAACTGATGAATGCTTCATCTTATAATTTTCAATATAACGAATTAGTAAAGAGGGAATGGAAATTGAAGGTAATATTTTTGATACCAATCTTTTTTAATGATTGAAAGCATGAATATCAGATCTAAAAGTAACGACAGAAAACCTCGCGAAGTATGTGACAATATCCAAGCAAGCTTTGGAGGTAAATATAACATCGGATTTGGTAACGTTTCCAATATATCAGTTACTTAGCAAGTCATTGCAAAAACTGAAAAATGAATGCTTCATATAATGCTGCAAAAACTACATTCTTTTAATATGTTTGAGTCTTCAATCTTGGGCATGTATAGTCTATGATGTGTTGCAACAGCAACTAAATAAACCCATGAATTGAGAAATCAAAATTTTGTCATGAGAGATCAGTTTATGGGAAAACAAATTTTTGGATCTCTACTTTTCCATCATTTACAAAGTAGGACATCTCTAATTGGTGATACTTGTACCATTTTCTTGTAGGAAAGAGACTATTTAAAGTTAGGTGCAGAACCCTATAAATGTGACAATGCTAAATTGGTAAGGGAATGCAATGAGTTACATTTGGCCTTTATCCAGTTCAAGGAGCAACATGAGAAGGTACAAAAAGGTAGTACTGTTTGGAGTGTAGAGAAACTGGTGATTTTCCAACAAATTTTCAGATCTTAAAACGAAAATAAGCGTGTTGGAAGGTCAACTTACGGACAGTGGCATAGAGAGACATAAACTACTTCAGAAAATTGGGAATTTGGAGTCTGAATTGAATAGAGCAGCTAAAGGTAGCGACTCAATGATGTGTTGTAATGTGTTTTTATAAACTATGCTACTTTTCAGGTGATAAATTGAAATCGCAGAGTCAAACAAAGAGTGCGAGTTTTCATTTGAATAGTGTTATGGCAAATTCCGACCAAAAAATTGCTACTTTAAGCAAAGAACTGAGAAAACTGAGAGAGGAACAGTTACAGTGTATCAAAAGCAATGAGTTCTTCAAAGCACAGGTGAAATATTTTCGTTTAAATTATTTACACCCAATAATCATAATTATATGCGGAAGCTTTGTAATAAAGAGTGTTGATAAATGGTTCGAAACATACTTATCAAATTGAACGCATATAGTAAACAATAAAATAATTTCCAATATTCAGAATATTCTTTGTGAAATTCCTCAAAGATCCTCAAATTCAGTTCATTATTTTAAAAACGGATATAATAAATTTCAGATGTCACAAATGTTTCATTGGATAAGAAATCATTCAAAATAATAACTGTTAAAAATTTTTAGGTCATTACAATTTTTATGGGCACATAAACAATTTGAATAACAAATTATATGTTAGTTGTTGTAGTATTAGAGTAGTCTTAAACTAGTCAGGGTACTCAGAGGCAAAATCTAAATGAATTCCTTCTCATGATATTGAAAACTGCTTTGCTGCTAATGAGAGTGAGATTTTCACTAAACAGTTTGCAAAACCACAACACGTGTTTCACTATACGGTAGCTTCCCCAGGCCTACACCAAGGAATACGCCTGGATTTTCATCAAGTATCGGCTTATTCCGTTACATAATTTTGCTGCTGTTTTGGTGTTTATAAAACAAAATAAGTGAAATATTTGGAATCTTATATCTCGTATTTGCATTTGGAATTTCAGTTACAAAATCGAGATGAAGAAATTAAGAGATTGAATAGTTTACTAGAGGGAGGAAGGCCAACTAAAGCTCTAAGTAAAGATTGTTGTTACAAGAACATTGACAATAAAATTGGATCATTACAGGATGAAATAAATGGATTAAAGAGGGAGAAAATTACTTTACAGAATGAGTTGAAAGGTATTTATAATGTTATTACTGTAGATAATTTGATAACAATTTACCAATTTATGAACATATCTGAATATAAAGTTCACCTCAAAAGAAATTGTTTTTAAAACATAGTTTGCATATTCTTCAACTGTTAATCTATAGTCAACTATGAAACCAAAGTGTTTGAATTTTTTTTACTTATCTTATTAAGTTCCCGCATAGTTTGATTTTCAATTCATGGCTTGCTAGTGTTTTAATCTGTTTTTTTTGCAATGAGCATACATTTTGTTTGTTTTATCTGCTTTTCATTCAGTAGGTTATTGCAGCATCATTTATAAATACATTTTATTGTGAAGTTTATTGTTTTTGTTAAAAATCCATGGTCTGTGGATTAAAAATTGATGAGGGTATCATCTGCAAACAAGTGGATTTCACACATTCCAGCATCTCCTACTATATAATCTATATAAATCATGAAGAGTGAAGGACCGAGAATGTGCTTGAAAGTGACCATGGGCCTTAAATTATAATGAATAATGTGAAATGAAACTTTCTAGGTTTTTTGATAAAAGTGGTAAAAAACATAGAAAGTTTCATTTCTCATTTTTGATGATGATCTCCTACCACGTAGTAACGACTACATCAATCAATTTACTCGAACTATAAAATGTTGAGTCGAATGTTACTTTATTTTAAAAACGTCGTAAACAAAATATTAATCACACTGCAGTCCTTTTAATTGAAGAAAATCTTTCTGTTATTTTTATGGGGGACTGGTTGAACAGACTACGACTTAAGGTGCTAACTTGACAACCGAAATTATTTCCTTCTGTATCCTTGATACTATCTTCATCAGAATACTTTACTTCGCCCTGCTCCTTTGAATCATCTCCCTTGAAGTCATCAGTGAATTGGATGGTCGCAGAATAAGCAGACTCTTCTAGAGAAACACATTTCAACTCCACTTCTTTATTATTATCTTCAGTAAATTTTGTCCTAATATTATCTTCATGCTTTCCAAACTTCTGCCTGCAACTGTAGGAAGTTCTCTTCAGTAGTGCTGCATTTAAACTTGCATTCGAAAGAGTTCTGTAAGACCTCTTCAGTTTGGCTTTGGTTATATCTTCGTCCGATATGCTCAGAGTCTTTTTAACAAAATCCGAAATACTCCTTCCCGAATCTTTTTCTTTGATTTTCGAAGAAGGTAAGGTTAATAAGGAATCTAAAGATCGAGTTGGTACATCCAGGAGTGTAGGTTGTCTCAAGTTAACTATTAGTGCAGTGATAGTGGATTCAGTAATGAAGTTACCTTCTTGGTTTCTACTTCTAGGAAATTTAGAATATTTCATTCTGTGTCCTTTCGACACTCCACGTTTGCTACACATCAGCTGGTAAAAATGGTAGATTGAAACCCATGCGTAAACCGATGGACCATGGTCTATGGTTTGAGCCAGTAAGAAGTCAAGGCAAATTGCGTTGAATCCTTTCTGCACCAGACAGATGTATGTTCCTGTAGTTAAAGTAAGCAAAGTCACTAGCACTGATCTCACAAAACCCAGTACGAGCCAAGGTATCATTAGGTACTGTTTTTTCTCGGAAATAACTGGCCATAGTAGTACCACGTAAAATCCAAGAAAAATTCTCGAGGTATAGCTCGTTATCAGCATAACAAATGCTAGAATGTTTTTCAGGAATCTTTCCATGTTTCTCTCCTTTATTTCTTCTCCGAAATTGAAATTCCATAACTCTTTCAAGTTGCTGCTACTTTTTGAAGCGGAATCGTCCATGCACAGTGTGACAATGGCTATGCCTATGATTAGTATTGCTTCTGTTCGTCTTTCTAAGCCATTCTGAATAAAGGTCGACAGGAATCCCTGAATCCAACTCTGCACATATTTCTAACTCCTCTTTTTTGTAGTACAAACACCCTATCAAACATGTATTGGCAACACGTTCCTCAAAAACAGACACTGTATCTCAGATGGGAATCGATGAGAGCAAACTACACATTTTTTGCCATATTAGTGCCCAATTCATTTGCTGATACTCTGACTGCAAAGCATCCAGATGAATTTTTTTACATAGGTTATTTATGTGACCTTCAAAATCCAAATTTTTATCAATTTGTAATCCCAGAAACTTTGCTGACATTTTGTTTTCTATTAATTGAGTACCCAGGTAGATATCTAGTGTGGAGCACTTGAGGGTGATGATGCTAGTTTTTGAGATATTAAATGACAAGAGATTAGCATCACACAGCATTAGCAGTCTTTTATTTTTATAATATCCATGCTAATCAAATCATGCAGTTCCCTCTCATTCTTGCAATGCCAAAATAATGTAGTGTGATCAGCGAATTGGGTTATTTCTGCGGCCATATTAATGCGGGCTAGGTCGTTAATATATAACAAGAAGAGAATTGGGCCTACAACCGATCCTTATGGAATACCACAAGTAACTTTCTGAACCATTTCAAAGATATATCTCTAAAGTCATACACTTCTTGTTTTTGCAGCAGAATTTCATGATCCACGCAATCGAAAGCTTTTGAAAGATCGCAAAAAACTGCCGCTGCTATTTCACGATTATTTAAATTGAGATACACGTTTTCCAGCAGATGAAACATAGCATCTTCCGTGTTTTTCAAACTCTGAAACCCAAACTGACTGCTACTAATTATATTATGCTTTTTCACAAACATCATAATTCTTTGTTTAACATGTTTTTCTATGATTTTAGCAAGGGTAGGGTAGCATAGAAATAGGCCTAAAGTTGGCAGGATTGTTAGTGTCGCCTCCTTTGTGCAAAGGAATAACAATTGCCGGAAATACACCCGTTATGAATCTTGTATTTATAGCTTCTACCAAAGCGGTGATAGCGGAGTTGGGCAACTTGGTAAATACTTTCGGGATCCACTCTATATACGTGCAAGTAAACAAGCTTCGGGACACCTTTGATTTTTTCAATGTTTTCTCCAACAACAAGGTTTCTTCGTGTTCTGGATTTTTTGGACGAGATGGTCTGCCATTTCCCCTGCTCCCTCGAATAATCTGTGCTAGCTCCTGAATGACTGGCTGTGTCATTTATATTGATAAAATGGCTGAGACTTGACTGAGAATAGCGGCTCCCACCTCCTTTCTACTTATATCTGAACTTATTTGGCCAGGTTTTCTCGAATTTTGTGAGTTATCGGACACAATATCTTTCTTGGTACCAGTAAAAGATTTGTGCTCATTTGATTTTCGATGATTTTCATTTAAACCTAGTCCATACTAGTAGTTCAAGTTTATTAGAAACATGTGACCGACTGATGAAACAAATATCAACAAAAACCTTCCAAAACACTCGAAAATTTTTGAATATTGTTTTTTTTTATCCATTAAACCACTATCATATCTTTTGATTTCATTCTGATAACAAAAACGTATCCAACATTGTGGAAAACAAAAAAAACTATCTTGTTTTTAAACATGGAGACAGCTGCAATAACAAATTATAGACCAATTGCTTTATTTTATGGAGAGTCGTAAAAGATTATTTTGTACAGTGGCATTGATCAATACCAGTCACACCATTGTACTAATTCGATTATCAATATATACTCAGTAAGTCTTTAAGGAACAATATGCCGTGACTGATTGTCACTTTTATGATGTAAACTCTAAATTAGATATATACCTACAAACAAAACTGCAATTGACATAAATTTTCGTCTCTCTCTTTTTCGTATGTTAAGTCTTGAACCAATTTAATACATACATAACAGATTGTTGTTGTCCCATGTTAAAATAAGTTCTAATTTTATTTGAGAATGGAATAAAAATTTGTGTTCTGTTTCTTCAGAGGCCTTGGCTAAACAACATGAGGCGATGAGAAGGGCAATACACCTAGCAGACAGGAACAAACAGCTAGAAAATGAAATGAAAGACATCGACCAAATTGCTTTAGCAGTCGAAGCCGAATGTAATGACACTGTGAAGAATAATGCTGAAAAAGTTACTAGGTATTTTTTGAGGAAATGCTCCCTCATTTATATAATTTCATAATCATTTTCTTTATTTTTTGGTTAGGTTGCAAGATAAAATCAACGAATCAATTATCACTATTCAAAATCTGGAAAGGGATAATGCCAAGTTGATAACTGAGAAGAAAGAACTGTCTGCCGAATTGGACGCCATTAGGTTGGAAAAGAAAACTTTGCAGACTCTTCTGGAAACTGAGGCTGAAGATAAAAAGAGGTTGACTGATCGAATCAACAATTTCACCATAATCGGTAAATATTTTCAAGAGTAGAAGCATTCATTCCCATATTAAGTGATGCAATGATGATACAGTGACAATACAATTCAAGGAAATGATTGCTCTTGAATCAAAACTATTACTAGTTGGTCCTTCGAGCCGGATATCTGAACAAATGTTTTGATTATTGTGGAGATAAGTTTAGGCATTACTTATTTTCATGTTTTTTATTTGTCATTTTCATAGTCAGATATCTTATATTTTTATTATGTTGTTTGTGAACCACAAGTCTTATAATACCCTAAAACTGAATCAAATGAAATTATATTAAAATTATTTGAAACATATTTATAACAACCACTTTCAGAAAACGACTTGAACAAAGAAATCGATAGGTTACTAAAGATATCTGGCCAACAGCGCATAAAAATTGCCGAACTGGAATGTCAGGTTACAACTACAAAACTAAAAGCGTCTGGTGATCTTCCAAAATTTCAAACAAAGGTAAGCATTTGATTTTGTTATCATTCAGTAAAACTTCATGTATGAGAAATATGCTAGAGATCCAAGTGGTGAACCTTGTGGCATGCCACATGATAGATATTTTTCTGGTTATTTCCAGCAACCTAGCCATCCTAGTATCGACAAAACTTCCAAAAAGTCAGAATCGATTGATCATGGTATTAAATCAAAGCAAAGCGTACCTAAAGTATTACACAAAAAGACATGCAAAAAGTCTTCCCTCTCAAAGCAGTCTTCCTCTTTGAAAGATATACAAGAAGATAGGAGAACGTCCCTAACAATTCAGAAAAGCCAGACTTGTTGCTGTGAAGCTGGAGGTTGCGTAAGGAGCATGAAAGAACTATTGGACAAGGAGATGGAGTTGAGGCAAGAGCAGGTTTGTGATTTATGCTCTAGAATAGTTTATGCTTTGCGGTAATGGGTCAAGTCTATAGAGAAATAACACTTATATGGCACTGAGTCCTGCGTAATATTATTACAGTATATATTATGCCAATAACAACAGACTACTTTCAATTTCATTTATCATTTCTATTGGCTCAAATTATTATCTTTCATATAAATTCAGTACAAAGGAAGAAGATAGGTCCAGGCATAGTTTTTGTGGCAAAGTTCTTCAAACTACATTATTTTATTATTTGTTTTTAGGCAATGCAACAGATTGAATCTCTGAAACAAGAAAAAGACTACTACATGAAAGAATACCATAAAGTTGTTGAACAAATGAGATCTTTTCCCGTACCAGAGAAGTCCAATAGGGTAGGTAAATGTTCATTTGATTTTGCAGGATCATATTGTGCTCGTAGACCTATTCAATCTGTTTAAAATCTGTTTTTCCGTTAACCAGCTGTCGCACCCTTACGAACGACAACCCTCAGAAGTCGAAACTTGTGCGAGCTAAGGATTAACGAGGTCTTACCTTTTAACGTGTGATTCCTAACAAGAAGCGATGTCCATATTTTCGTTAATCCTATTATAGGGTCTTAGGTTAAATTTGTGATATACAAATGAGAGAGACATAGAAATGATCTATTTGCCTTATCTTTGAGAAATGTTGGAGTGAATAACTTTTTTCAATTTCAAGGCATTATGCAAAAACTCTAATAATAGAAGACGCATGTTGCGATTCATTTCATTTTCGATATTGATCATCTCCTGATGATGCTTACTTGGTTAGCAAAACGCGAGTCCAGATAAAGCGTTTTTGTTCTAGTTAGGGAAAAGTGTTTTCCCTAGATTCATTTCACGTCAGAGATTCCAAATTCTACTTTTTCATCAATACATTGACCAATCCAAATTTTTTCTACATTTTTCATTTTGTTAAATAATTTTTCCTACATTATTGACTGACAGTTTGTTTTGTTATTACTTAGTCATTTTACTGGTCTACTTGATGTACTTGACTGACTAAAATTTCTGTAAGCTTCAAGATCAGACTGAAGGCATGCTCGGCCGTATCAAAGAAAAAGATCAGATGATTTCGACATTACAAAGTGAACTGAGGACACTGAGCAATGAGAAATACTCTTTGACATCAAGATTGGAAAGCATCAGCAGAGGTCAGTCCGAAATTGAAGTCGACGGCATTTGCCAAAAGGTAGGTAGAGTGAAATTTTGTGGAAATCAAATTAAGTGGGTTTGTCAAACTAAGTTTTCGTCTAAAATGTTATTTGTGGTGAGCTTTTTGCATGTAAAAATGAATGTCGACACAGAGAAAAAATATGACTCTGTTATAGTAATGGTAATGTTATAATAGGAAAATTGAAACTCAAATTTTTTTTCCTAGGGGATAATTCATAACAATTTTTCAATAGTGATGTGAATGAACGAACATATTGCCAATTTATCAAATGGATCCAAAGTCGATAACCTGTTCGGTTTATATCAATTTTTAGTTGATTCTAAGAGTGGTTGATAAATACATATGACAGGTTTATTCTGAAGTTGTTTCAATAGTTGAGTATTTTAATTGAGAATATATGAAACTATAATACATGTTCATCAAAGCCACACCACCAATCAACATCCAACAAGCAGATTGACAACGTTAATAACCTTCCATTTTTTTCAAGACAATATTGTCACATAATCTTTTTGGGTTTATCATCTTATCAATTTTGTGTCATTCAAAAGAGTAAGAATAATAATAATAATATGCTTTATTATCATAAGACATAATCTTGTAGACAAAGCTTGTGTAGTACATACTTGAAAAAATACCAACTGAAATTAAAATAAAAATATAAATAGTGCATGGGTACAAACTACGTTTAAATGGAGGATATAAAAGATATGTATATATAAAAGAGTTAAAAGTCAAGTTTATAGAAGAGTAGACATAAAAAGTAACAACTTAAGAGCTCCTTAAAGATGAAAAATATGCGTAAGTCAGTTAAAAGCTATCGTTAAAAAATTCATCCAAAGTATAATAGAGTGTATCAGATAGAAATTGTTTGACTAACTTCCTGAATTGGAAGTCATTTATATTGGCAGATATTATGTCGATAGGCAAATAATTGTACATTTTTCCACCATTGTAAAATATGGAGTCTCTAGTAAAGTTTTTAGTTGGCACAGTGAGTTTCATAGCGGGTCTGCAGTTTCGGGTGTTATAATGGGAAGAGAATATATGCTTATGTATTAAACACACAGATTCCACTATAAATAATGCAGCAACAAACCAAAAAAATGTTGCCAGCAAAATGTTGGTTGGAGTGTATCCACTTCACACTTCATCGGATGAATTTACATCATCAATTCTGTTTCCAAAAAAATTTCATTTGACACAGGATCAACCCAGTTTATCGACTTCTGATATTAATGATTGAGTATCAAACAAATTCTGAATCAAGACAATGAGCTGGTTTTAAGTTTGGGTTATTTATCTTTCAGAACTTTCAAAATATAATTTGTGTGCATGGAACAAACAAAAACGACTTGTGGAATATATTTTTTAAACATCAAGCAACTGGAAGGTGGTTCTAGAAGAGTTTTTTTTAATCTTAAAAAAATGCATTGTGTTACAATGAAGTTTATGTTTTGAATTTACAAGTTCGATTGATATTCCAAAAGTATGGATCATAGCTGTTTTCCAGGTTTGTTGGCTGTGGTATGCAGAATTTTAAGATGTTTCGTCTACGACTGTGGTAGATATGCAGTATATGACTTCGTTTTTATTGGTTTGGATAAAATAACCTGATTCATGTGCAATCTAGAACAGAAAACCAGATTTCATTTATGTCAATTCTCTTGCCTTGTGTTTTTGAATTTCTAGCATCCTTATGAGCTTTCTAAATACTTAATGAGTATGGGGGTGAGGCATAACTTCGACGCTCAATTCGTTTGATTTTCGGGAGGTAATTTGTGAAACTTGCGGACGGGTGTTGTGGTGGAGCAGGATCAGACGTCTTCTGTTGATCAATGCCGGCTGCTGCTGACACAATTTTCGGTACATTTCGTCGATTTCCTCACAATAGGACTCTGCTGTTTTGCCCAAATGTAGAAAGTTATAGTGAATCACACCAGCCGCTAACCACCATACAGTAACCATGATCTTTTTTGGGAGATATCGCCTTTGGGAAGTACCCTGATGGGTACTTCCCAAAGGCCAGTGACCAACCACCGTCCTGAACGTATATTGCTGTCTAGAGGATCCAGTTTTCCTCACACGTGACGATTCGTTTTGGGCTGTTTCGGCAGCGCTGTGGTTCAATTTGAATTCGTAGAGAAAAATTGGCCGAAAATCGCTCTGAATGAGCTGAAAAGCGGCAAAAAATGAACAGCATCAATTTATAGAATGAAAGAATCTCTATCGATCAGTATGTACAGTAGAATAAATATTTATTGAGATATGGAGCTACAAAAACACATGACAAAACGTACAAAACTTTTGAAAAAACCTGAAACAATCATACACAATGACGAGTTGTTGTTCAATTGAAAATATTGAATATTTTTATTTCAGACAGGTTGCAAAAGGAAAGCCAGGGAGTTGGAAATTCATCGGGATGAAGTAAAACATCTAGAGAGAGAAAATGATTCATTGAAATCGAAAATACAGGTGAGGAATAATATCTGCTGTTTATACAGTTTTATGATGCAAGAACAAAATAAAAATCCATTGTCATCTGTTTTTGTTAAGGCTTTGACCGAATCATCAGTTTTTGACCAAGACAGAATGAAGAAAGCCTTCAGAGAAATGGAGGAGCACATTAGGGTACTTGAAAACGAACGTAGGGACCTGGTGGTAGGTCAGACTACAAGTAGATCAAATGTAACACAGTTAGAAGAAGAACGTAGTCAGATCAAAGAACAGCTGAGAGTGACAGTAAATGAACTAAACACGCTAAAGGCGAATTATAATCAACTCAAGTAAGACTTATATTTGAAGTTTTAAAAAATCGAAAATTTTCCCAGTGCAGTAATTTGAGAATATTTCTTGGTGCCACACCAAAAGTAGGAGCTGGGAGAGCTCAGCAATGAAAGCTTCAACTTCATAGGGGTTGAAAGTGTTTCATCAAACTAGGTTATCACATCCGGCATTCATATGTGTTTTTCTTACAGACTCCTTCAGGACCAAAGCGACAGAGCCTTGACAGAGGCACAAAGTCAGCTCCTCAGAGCCGAAACGGAGCTGCAGAGCTATCAGTCGAAAGTGAGCTTGACACACAGGGAATCTGCCGGGCATGAGAGAGAAGTGGCCCGGTTGCAAGGAGACGTGGAAGTCATGAAATTGCAACTATCCAAAATAGACAAGGAGAAGGACGAATTATTGGTAAGAATCGGTTGCTAGATGTGGTTTGGAATAGGAAATGCATTTGATCTTTTGCAGAATATTGTCGACGAAAAGACGGAGAAAATCGATCTCTTGGAGAACCAGCTGAGGGAGAAGAAGAATTTGATGTCGAGTTTGGAGGGGGAATTAAAAGAGCTAAAGAGGAAGTTGGGGTAAGTTTTGTTGTAAGTGTTTGTCGCCTCGCAAAAACTTCTCTTTGCATTTTGTTGACCCGACTTTTTTTTTAGATTTTTTCAGTTTGCTGTGGAAATTACGGTTAGTAGTTTTTTATTTTCATGTTGTGCACCCCGGTGTTGCGTGAGCTAGCACAATTTTTCATTTGAAAACGGAATACATTCACTTTATTTTCGAAAAAGGTGTTCATCATTTCTCCTCATGTCAATTTGAATAACTGACACTCTGATTAACGATTTATCATAGTTCCGTTTCCAACAAAAATGCCACAGTTACAATATTCCGTTTGTTTGAAGCTGATTGACAATGTTTCATGATGAATTTCATAAGTTCGGACTTCCATTAGGCAATGGAACTCCGAACTAATGAAATTCACTACAATATTCCGTCTATTTAATTCAAAGAAATATTGACATAGTAGCACAGAAGGTCTCTTGAAGTACGTTTTAATTTGAAGTTAGTCTATATTGGTTTTTTAACTGAACAGTGGATTGGAAGTTGGGTTCAGGCATGTAGAGCTGGCTGTTAATCCACGTATTATTAAATGTTTCAACATCATAAGCAATCATCAATATGGTTTCCAGAAGCAAAGATCTATCTTCTTACGTATGTCACCAAACATTGGAACAATGCAATCGAATTTTAGGCTGTTAGATTTGATATTTCCAAAGTCTTTCGCACGTGGGTTGCAAGAGGGTTCACCAATAAAACTTCCATGTTATGGCTTTCTTTGTGGCTTTCCAGATTGATAGTGCTCTTTTTGATACCTTTATTTGGAAAGTTACTCGCATACTTGAAGCTCCACTTCACTGAGGTTGCTAGATTCTGTCTAGAAAAGAGTTCAAATATTAATGGAAGGTTACAAACTTTTCTCTTTTCTATAGATTCTTCTGTTGTGGTGTTGCCAATTACAGTATGGTAGGCACTCTCTTGTTAGTTTTTTGCATAATTAATTAAATAACGTCAAAGTACCACCATCAATGCCGCCTCAATATATCTTTAGACTGTTTCTTTTTCGTGGTGTTGAAAATTATATACTTTCACCATTTATTATTTTTTCGTCTTTCTGATAATTCTTTGAATGGTTCAAAGATTTACAACAGTAACTTGGACAGCTCGCTCTTGAACTTTGTTTGAATCTTTCATAAGCTTACCACAAGTAACTCTTGTTGTATAAAATGTTTGTTAACAATAATTTCATTGTTTTGTCCATTCAAATGCTTGCCCCTCACTTTGGACATGAACTTAATCCCGAGTGCATGTTACAACTGCCACAGTACAAATAACATAAAATTAATCTTACTTTCTGCTCGCATAGAGAAGTGGGCTAACTTTTCCCGGCAGTTGAAACACCAGAAAAACAATGTAAATGCAACCTTTTTTCAATTCGTGTTTCATTGATTTGTAAGACAGCTTTAATTTACTTTCTTTCGTGATAGTTTTGATTTTAGGATAACTCCTATGGTGTAAAAAGCCATTATGATGTGCATTATATTCTTAAAGTAAGTAACTATTGTTGTTTCATATTGTTAAATAAAAGAGATTGATTGGCATTTTCGCGAAAATAGCAAAACATTCAAATAGTCTATCCAAACCGAATACAATTTTTTCGAAACCGACCTAAATGAAATATCAAGACATTGATCTGGAGAGTGTAAATTTCTATCTATCTGAGCGTTCTTTATTCAGAAGACACTAGTCGGGATGTATAACCACTACGTTCGCCTTTAAAAAAAGAAATATGTATCTGTCAACAATTTTATTAAAAAAAAAATCACATTTTTCGAACAAAGTGCTGTCGTTGGCACTTTCAGAACCAAAGCATAATTACTTTGTAGCTATATCACCTAGCACTAATCACACGGGCAACCGTATACGTTCCGTTCAAGTACTCTGCAAGCATAACCGTCGGCGACATGCAGAGCGTAACGTTTTTCTGCCCGACCATCCGAATGCTTCTCCTGTACCCCGGGATACACTCGCACAGCCCGACCCGTTCCTTCCACCCTTCGCTGAACAGTTCCTGCTCCTGTCTCCCCTCCCTTCCGTCCCTCTTCGGTACTAACCATGAGCCTCTGAAGCAAGGCCCCTGCGTGTACATCTTATGGCACTCGTTCCCGAACCGAATCAACCCTTTCGTCCGATCACACCGAACCCGCTCGGTAGTTTGTTGGTTGGTGTTTTGTTCGTTGCTGCAGTCTCGTTTCTCGCACGCACATATTCCGTTGTAGCTGATTCCGTCGACCGAGGGGCGGGTGTTGAAGTCGTAAGTGATTATTCTGTTCCTGGGGCAGGGGCCGCGGTGGCCTATCCTGTGGCAGCTACGATCCGCAGGGAAGTAGAGGTAGCCCCGCTCGCAAGGCTGTGGTAGACACGTCGAGCCATCGAGTAGGATGTGGTGCGCTGGACAAGGTCCCTGAGTGAATGGTCTGAAGCACGAGGTAGAATTGATGTAGGGGATGTAGCCCTCTTTGCATTGACAGGTTGCTTGGTGAGTTTGGGGATCAAGCTGGAAGTGCTGGCCAGATGCGCATGGGCCTAAGGTACCTGGAATAACAATAATGTATGGTAACCATTACCCATACATTTCATCAGTTCGGACTTCCATTGTCTAATATAATAATANATATTTTTTAATTTTCAGCTTTTATTAATATTTCAATTTTTTATTTTCTGGTTGTAGCTTGTATGTTATTTCGTAATTTCAGTTTTTTGTTTTAATAAAGTTGTAATTTTCGGTTAATCTTTTATTTTTTTCAGGGATTTCAAATCAATTTATATTATATTAGACAATTAAATGGTAAAATTAAATCTTCAATAAAATAATTTACGAACAATTGAAATGATTTATGTAGAACTGATGCTAGCGTTGCGTTGATAATAATAATACTCGAGATAAATATGTAAAGTTTGAAGAAACGAGGTATTACTCAAATTTGTTTACGATTTCCTAATTCAAATTATAAACATTATTGTATTGCAAAAGTTGTATCTGAATTTAAAAATACCTGTATCATACTTCAATAGAAATAATCAATAGGGAACAACGATGTAGACTCATAAAAGAAGTTACCAATATTGAAATTATTCTTGATTACCTTGTTTCATGGCGTACCCACTTGAAAAATAGTGATTTTTGGATGAATTTATCCATTTCCTCATTGTCTCAAGGTGAATACTCAATAATTTTTAGATGTATTGAGTTCACATTAATTCATTTTGCGGTTTCCAAACGAGAATTCTTACCTAACTCGAAACACTTTTGACTTCCTTCATGATAATGTGGCAAATAATTATGGCAACCGCATGTTTTGTCTGGCAGAAACAAATGCCCCTTCTCCAAACAAGGTCCTTTGGTAAAATGTTGGTAACACCGTCCGTCTGCGAATCTGGTTCAAACATCATTTATTAAACGTAATGTAACAACAACATACAATCACACACGTTTTTCGATTTAAATAAATAAACTTACAATTAAATTTAATCAAGTAAAGATGAGTCAAAAACTACGAAAAAATTAGAAGGTGATCTGGATCAACGGATTGGGCTTGGCATGAAAGAAAATGAGAACATGAAGGAAAAAGAATTACTTACGTATGATTAGTATCGATTGAGTGGTTATTCGACTTGACAAGAAGTGTACTCGTTAAAACTAAGTCAGTTTTTGTCTATCATCTAAGGCAAGTCTACATTATGAAAGTTGTAGGTGTAAAATTGCATGGTATAGACATAGACGACCGTTATGGGGGATCCAGTAGTAGCAAGAGGGTGTTCTAAATTCAAATCGACCAAGAGGACTAAGATATGGGTTTTAGGAACTCCAACACATGTTGGTTAAACCCATGGTAGCATAATATAGATATTTGGTCTGGTGGATGAAACAAGCGACCTCTATTGATAAACCAAAATCCATTGGTACAGGATAGATCAGAAAATGTATTGATAAAAGCTTGAAAAATATTGAGAAAATATAACCGGGAACAACACACAAGAAAATATGTATGAGGAGTCAATCTGGGAAAATATCCAAAGAACTTTTCACTGGATATTACTCATTTAGAGGCCACCAGAACAAAATAAGAATCCATTCATTAGACTACCACAAGAAACATGATGGTTGAAATAGTTGACACGGAAATATGGGTGAGAAACCAGCAGGCTCAACAGTCTTGACAACAATAATAATGTATCAGTTTGCAGTGTATCTTCAAGTTTGTATAGTTCATGACATTTTGCATTATAAAGAAGTGGATATCTGTGGAAAGACACCGAGAAAAATATTACCTGTAGTCTTTCAATTCGACTTGATTGCCGCACTTGCAGACCGGAATATTTCCGTTGGGATCAGTCGTGAGCAGTTGTCCCTTGGGGCAAGGACCTCGGCTCAGTAATTTGTAACATTTTGAGTCCTTGGGCCAATAGACCATCGTTTCGTCCGAACAATTTTTTATTTGTTTGCAAACTCCCCATTGTCGCTTGGAACTGTAACAACAAAATTTATGAGTTTCCATAATTCGATAGTCTTCTAACTTTTGAATATCTTTCATACTAACTTCTCACTTTTATATTGGGTGTCTGGGGCGAAATATTCTCCTCCGTCGCAAGGACCCAGCGAAAATAGCGCGTAACATTTGCCGTCCGTTGCAGATTGGGCCGTTTCCGGGGTACATCTGCATTCGGCTGACAAATTTTTACCGGATTTGCTGAGCGACGGACTGAGTTCCATTCCGTCCGGGCAAGGATGGCCCACCTGCGAAAACGATTTCTCATTTACTCGGGATATAAAAAAAGTTGAAGCAAAATTTAAAAAATGCAACAGCGGGGGTCCAGTTGGGTGTCCAGCTAGATGTCCGGATTTGAATCCATTGGATTTTTATTTATGGGTTATTCAAATATAAGGTATGTTGTATACCAATTCAATTGGTGGTCATTGTATTAGCAACGGTTATAATAATTCAATTATAAGTACAATTCAATTGACAAATATCTGATAAATATTGAAATATGATTATATGGTGAAGCAAGTTTCGAAGAAATTCAGCAATTCACCTAGATTTCAGTATTGAATTCAAAATGGAGAGGAGCATTCCCTAATAAAATAATAAAATAAAATATAGGTTTAGTCATTATGTATTCGAATACTGTCGGTAGCCGGTCGGTTCGACGAGGGTGCTTTTTTCACTCACTCGAATTGACCGCCGTGGTCGGTGGTTCTAGCTCCAGGCTGAACGATCGAATTTCACTTGCTATCGTCCAACCCGTGTTAGGAATCACACGTTAAAAGGTAAGACCTCGTTAGTCCTTAGCTCGCACAAGTTTCGACTTCTGAGGGTTGTCGTTCGTTGGCGAGCGACAGCTGGTTAACGGAAAAACAGATTTTAAATAGATTTAAACAGAGATTTGAACTGTCCTACCCGAATTAGTCGTTTTGATGCAATAAATGTCATTTATCTTCAAAATTACAAGCTGGGTGTTCTCACTCTAATTTCAATACGAGTAGAAGAGAAAATATAGAGTTCAATTCAATTTCATAAAAAAAATACATAAAAACTTTTTTAATTCAGCAATTCACCTAGACTTAAGTATTGAATTCAAAATGGAGAGGGGCATTCCCTAATAAAACGTAGCAATAGGTAGACAATGAAATTTTATCTTAAAAATATAGATCTAGTCAGAAAAAAGTATGGAAAATTTTTCAGGAGAGATAAAATATTAATTCAAGCAAAAGTTGTAGGAGAATAACGGGGACAAATTTAGGTAACTTTGGCTTTGTCCCCGAGATGAAAATCATATCATATTTTATTATCTCACATTTTCAAAAAAGAATCGAATTATTTCTCTAACCAAAGCGAATTCATTAACATGAGCAGATTTTGATCTAGCGATCAGAAATATTAAAAACCATTGGGAGTGGATGTATTTATGATGTTTTGGTTGAGTAACTCTCTCCATTTTTATTTTTAATCCATTTCTGTTGCCTAGATATAATTTGTTGAAGAAATAACTTCCTCATGTATTTTCCTGAACGAGGATTTGCCAAAACCGTTTCGTTGAAAGATAAATATAAGTCTTTATGGCCCCACTGACTTCAGCATCAGCAGTATTGAAACAAATGATGAGAACAGTCAAGATATTGCATTGACGGTTTTCTTATTTCGCGGTATAAGTGTTTTTTCGACACTTTTCAGTTCATTACAAACTGAAAAGAATTTGTGGTCAATTTATCTCAACTAGTGTTTTGTGTCACAATGATGGAACATGTGACAAAATTCTCTGCCCGGAAGTAATAAATTTCTGGAAGATTTAGGGTGCCTATTGAATGCAGTGTGTACACATAATCTTCATATTTCTGAATAAGTAATACTCACTTGAAATATTTTATAACATTTCGCTTCGGGCGGCCAAAATAGGAGCTGCCAGCCGTTAGGTTGAGACGCACAAGGATTCAACTTGGGGTTGGCCCATGGTGGTGCCATAACCGCTGCTTCCGTTTGTGGTTGAAACAGGAATAGGAACAACTTCATTTGAAAAAACCATGTCTGAAATTTGATAAATATAAGTTAGCTTGATGCCCTCTTTCTCATCGTGAAGAAAATGTAGAACAAAATTTGTATGAGAAGAAATCATTTTAAGCCGATGATGTGAAATCACTCGCTGCATCGAGTGCGTTATCAACTTTTGTTTCAGATAAAATGGGAGGCCTTGTGACCCTTTGTTCAAAAGGTACTTCAATTCTCTATACAACGACCTCTACTGTTTCGGATATGCGGAGCGGAATTATTGGTGTATGAATTCGAGACTGGGAAAAATTAAGTTACGATTCCGGTATGACCATTTCCGTCGTTTCTATGTTCTTTAATTCATATTTCAGCTGCTACTGATTATTTTGCTGATAATTCGAACTACTTTCCAGCTGTAAGATATTAACCGATTCGCTTGCATTTCTTTTTCAATATTTCGAAAATACACAACAGTCAATTGTCTTATAAATAACGTATTGAAGGTTTCGGTTTGTAAAAAGTAATTTTTTATCTTCACAACTTCCGTAGTATTGTATTCAATTTCGAACTGTTACCTATTACCTGTTGTGCAATTGTTATATGTTCAAGAGATAATTATTGTGTTGTTTCTTGAGTCGTTAATGGATATTATTAGGTGCGCAGCGGGTAATAAATAAGTGTCGATACGTAATCGTTTTATACCACTGGCGATTCAATTGATACAATGACATTTAGTTGAACGCGGAGATTGATCAATAACCGCAGTAGGATGCTGTTGTTCTGCTCGTGGAACGTAGTAGAAAAGCTAATAAACTTAATAAATCAACATTTTTAAGGATCAATTGGTGAATACCGATATGAATTTTTTCGATTAAGTTATAAGCGGGTTTTTATTAGTAAAAAATCGTCCCTCAAAGCATTTTACTATCAAAAAATATAATAAAGTACCATTCGGTTTTCAACCAGACAATGGAATCAATGATGACCTGCTCGAAGTTAATGGTTTCAGAAATCAGAGCTCGGAATGGTCGCAGTCATATTTGGAACATTTTAAACGAATTGTTAGCCACGGTTTCGAATCAAATTCAAGAGAAATGTAAAGAGTGTCGCAGGGTTTAGTTGTTGTACCGTTACTTTTCTGATTGTACGAGTATGTTGATGATATCACTAAACTAAATATTGTTATGACTTTCCCCGTGAGTTGACCAATAGTTGACTACACTGAATAATCAAACTTAACTTTATTTCACTTCAAATACAACAAACACTTCAACTAAAACTTCAACTATTATTCGAATGTCTATCACCTTACTAGATCGCTTCGCGTACCGCACTGTAACTTCCACTTGACTGTGTCGATATGCTAGTGGCTAGCGTTTATATGTCGCAATCAAATGCGATGGAAATTTCGCCGTAATTCCATCGAAATCGGTAGCATTATTCTCGCTGCTTCTAGAGCGGCAGCGCTCATAACTACGTCACAATTGGTTTATGGCTACCAGTGGCGGCCGGCTACTGTGCAAAAATTACCCTCTTGCGATTGACACTACTGTAATGTGGCGAAGTGAATCACCATATCTACTCTTCAATACAATGAAAAAAGATTATGTTTTTGGGAAAAAATACGAAGAAGTAATGACGAGGGAGCAGATGCATTATCCTGATGCAAAAGCCATGCATTGTTTTTCCACAATACCGGACCTTTTCTTCGTATTGCTTCTCGAAAGCGGCGAATAACTTCAAGATAATACTCCTTATTGACCGTAAGAACACGGTTTTCTTCGATTTCCGTGGCGAAGCCAACGAAAATCAAAGAAAACCGTGAGTAAAACCTTCACATTTGATCGAACTTGGCGTGCTTTTTTGGTCTTGGCTTTCCTGGGCTTTTCCATTGGGACGATTGACTTTAGTTTTGATGTCATAACCATATATCCATGATTCGCCATCAGTTATGACTCTTTGAAGCAAATTCGCCGTTGACACCATTCAACAATTCTTGACCGATGCTCATGTGACGTTTTTTTTTTGACAAAATTCAGCAATTTTGGTACGAATTTAGAAAAAAATGTATAGCATGAGCCAACCCACATGCCGCTATTAGCAACCTCTCTAATGATAATTTAACGAACATTTTTATCGGTCATTAATGCGCTGGGACGTCCATAAACTTTTCTGATTCAGAGTACAATCATCGTAGGCCACTGTCAACATTTTAAGGGTTTTCGAACACGTTGTTCCATTTTTCACAAAATTTGATGCAAATTCTTTAATCTTTTTTTCAATAGCGAAAAATCGCCGAACTCGCAAAACAGAACGGATTCTCCAACTCCTTTTTTTGAACAGTTGAATTCGGGTGGGTCTAAGTTTTGACTTCTGAACCGCTTTGTATATACCCCCATAAAACTATATACTTTTCAGTGAGAATCCGAAAATTGGAAGGAGTATTTGTCGTTTTATTGAAAAAAGTATAACAATGCATCGGTTCCTAGCATCTACTGGCCTATCCTAGAATAGGCAGTTAGGTTAAGATCAAGTAGAAATATAACAGATTGGAAATATTTTGATAGAGTAGTTAATATATTTACTATTCATGTTGATTCCAAGAAAGTTCATATGATAGTTTTTTAAATATCAATCCGTATGGTTCAAACCAAGCCTTAGCATTCTCTAAAATAAAGGACAGCAATGGCTCAGTATTCTCTTACCTTCTGAGGGCGACTATAACAGTACGTACGTGATGTATACAGTTTATAGAACCATACATCAGAAATAGGAGAGGACTTGGAGCAGATCCTTGTGATACTTCATTAATTACTGTTACTGCGGTGCGCAGTTTATGTGAATCTTTCATCAACTGTACATGAGCTGACTAGTTTTTAAATGAAAGCACTGAATTTCTTCTAAGTACAAACCTAAAAATATATAAGTCACGAAAACAACATGCATTTAATACCTCCAGAGAGAGCGTTGCTAATAACTCTCCCTGTATACGCATTACACGTAATTATCGAATGAGTGTTGTAACTTGGCGTTACGTAATATGCAGCGCAGACTACCTTGAACTTCAAGAGGCGATTATAATAGCATTCTTTTTTGCCGACCCCGATTGATTGGAAAGTAAAACTACCTAACGTTAATTATCTACGATTAACTCTGTTACCAATTACTTATATGTGATAATTTAGTTGAGAGACATTCAATCGATGATTTGTCAATATTCATTTATGAAGAATTAGTATACATTGAGGATTATGTATATTTTAGGATTCTGTACACTTCACTACAGTGGACTCTGTTGTAGATGAGCTGGTGATGTATTGAATTTGTGGTGGTTTCTTGGATGAAACGCAAAAACCACTCAACTAGTTTATATTCAGGTTTGCACTGTCTTTCGCTGTCACGATATCATCATTATAATTCAAGTTAGAAGTAGTTCATGTGGGTCTGCATAGAAAATCTTAAATCTGTTATGCTATTTGAAGCATAGTTTAGGCAAAAACAATTTTTGCAATCCACGGTTATCATTTCACTTCGTTGTCATGCTAACTAGTTCTTTCAATCGATTCACAAATCTAACATACCTATCGACTCACTTCCCCAGTTGGAACCAAGTCAGCATCATCAAGAAATTAGAACTTTACTAGAATATAGAAATTATTTTTGAATGTTTATTCAAATTTACGTCTCGTTATGAAATTAAAGCTATTACTCTGATTCAGGTTATCTTTCTCAAATAAATCTCATTTTAAACTATTCCTGTTATGAGTCATAGAAAAAGGGTAGTATTCTACTCGCGAAAAAGAGCATTACTCGCTTGAGTAATTTACTTCTATCAAACTCCATTCTCATGTCGTTGAATTATATACTTTTTTCCTATTTATTTTTATAACTGATTTATGAAGCTAATCGAATAATTTGCTGTTTCCTTCGAAAGATGAAAATGTTTTAAAGACAAATATCAGTTGTTGAAAATAAAGTCCAAATTGTAAGTGAGAAATGTTTTAAAATTTTGACTTTCAAAAACCATAAAGGTACCTATATAACCGTGTGGAACCGAATTACTTTTTGGAATATCCCTAACATTATTATTTTGTAATTATGACATGGATGTAAATTATTTTCAATAAATATTTTTTGAAATCTTTTCAAGATTTCAAAATACCGATTCCTTTTTTTTTCAGATAGATATCATAGTTACCCCTTTTTCTCAGTTGGATACGCCCTTGTCGTTTGCTTTTTATTCACTCAAGAACATACATTAAAATTGGGAACGGCCACATGTTAAACGATTACAAAATCATTCTGGTAGGTTTTATTAGCATGTAATGTTGGTAAATAGTAGTTGAGATTGTTGTTCGAACATACATAATGGGTGATAATAGCCCAAAATATGCAATCGTCGCACAATTGTGACGCCATTGATCGAAAGCTTCGCTTTTAGTAGGTCGCGAGAATACACTTATATCAATAAAAAATGGGCTTTTCTGGATGAAATTTAGACCAGTTCATCCTAATTTTGGTCAGTGCTGTTGAATACCGGAGATTTGAATAAAATACTAACTGATTTCAACTTCTTCATCTCCATACAAAATTGGGGTAAACTTTCCCTCTTAATTTAAATATAAATTTACCCCCAGGCGGGTTGTGCTGATCTTCGGAGACTCGAAGTATAAGCTATCCAGAGAGTGGTACCGAAAAAAAGGAGAGGATGTATTTAGAAGAGATATACTCACGTCCGGATGGAACAACTCGGGTCACAAGACAAAAACGACAATAATAAAGAACTCTCTGTACAGCAAGTATCAACAAAGATTCCAACAGATCTGGTCATCGGCACTGACTGATAAGAATAAAGTTTCTGCTTACCTTCTCTCAAAGCCGGTGTAGCCAGAAATTCAGACCAGAGATGATTTGTTATATTTTCCAAAAGAGGAAAGTTATTTTGGGAGTTCCATATCAATACTTCCAAAGCCGCTTGGCTATCCGAAATTATTTTTATTGATTCTTGTGTGAAGTTGGCTCTCCACAGTCTCCACACA